TGACGGAATGACAGAATGACGGAAGGACGGAATGACGGAAGGACGGAATGACGGAAGGACGGAAGGACGGAACAGGGTAACACTATATGCCCCGGCCATTACATGGCGGGGGCATAAAAATGTGTTTACCGAGAATTGAATCCGTAGCGAATACAGAAATTACTTAAACAAAATGTGTTTACCGAGAATTGAATCCGTAGCGAATGCAGAAATTACTTAAACAAAATGTGTTTACCGAGAATAAGTTCCAGAGCGAATGCAGAAATTACTTAAACAAAATGTGTTTACAGAGAATTGAATCCGTAGCGAATGTAGAAATTACTTAAACAAAATGTGTTTACCGAGAATAAGTTCCAGAGCGAATGTAGAAATTACTTAAACAAAATGTGTTTACCGAGAATAAGTTCCAGAGCGAATGCAGAAATTACTTAAACAAAATGTGTTTACCGAGAATAATTTCCAGAGCGAATGCAGAAATTACTTAAACAAAATGTGTTTACCGAGAATAAGTTCCAGAGCGAATGCAGAAATTACTTAAACAAAATGTGTTTACCGAGAATTGAATCCGTAGCGAATGTAGAAATTACTTAAACAAAATGTGTTTACCGAAAATAAGTTCCAGAGCGAATGCAGAAATTACTTAAACAAAATGTGTTTACCGAGAATAATTTCCAGAGCGAATCCAGAAATTACTCAAAATAAATGTGTTTACCAAGAATAATTTCCAGAGCCAATGCAGAAATTACTTTAAAAAAATGTGTTTATCGAGAATAAGTTCCAGAGCGAATGCAGAAATTACTTAAACAAAATGTGTTTACTCAGAATTTAATCCGTATCGAAAGCAGAAATTACTTAAACAAAATGCGCTTACGTGAATAAGTTCCAGAGCGAATGAAGAAATTACTTATAGAAAATGCTTTTACCGAGAAAAAGTTGAATAGGGAATGCAGAAATTACTTAAACAAAATGTGTTTACCGAGAATAAGTTCCAGAGCGAATGCAGAAATTACTTAAACAAAATGCTTTTACCGAGAATAAGTTGAAGAGCGAATGCAGAAATTACTTAAACAAAATGTGTTTACCGAGAATTGAATCCGTAGCGAATGTAGAAATTACTTAAACAAAATGTGTTTACCGAGAATAATTTCCAGAGCGAATGCAGAAATTACTTAAACAAAATGTGTTTACCGAGAATAAGTTCCAGAGCGAATGCAGAAATTACTTAAACAAAATGTGTTTACCGAGAATAAGTTCCAGAGCGAATGCAGAAATTACTTAAACAAAATGTGTTTACCGAGAATTAAATCCGTAGCGAATGCAGAAATTACTTAAACAAAATGTGTTTACAGAGAATATGTTCCAGAGCGTAGCAAAAATTACTTAAACAAAATGCTTTTACCGAGAATAAGTTCCAGAGCGAATGCAGAAATTACTTAAACAAAATGCGTTTACCGACTTAAGTTGAAGAGCGTATACAGAAATTACTTAAATAAAATGTGTTGAGCGAGAATAAGTGAAAGTGTTTACCAAGAATTAAATCCAAAGCAAATGCAGAAATTACTTAAACAAAATTCGTACTGAGAATAAGTTGAAGAGCGAATGCAGAAATTACTAAAACAAAATGCGTTTACCGAGAATAAAATCTGTAGCGAATGCAGAAATTACTTAAACAAAATGTGTTTACCGAGAATAAGTTCCAGAGCGAATGCAGAAATTACTTAAACAAAATGCGTTTACCGAGAATAAGTTCCAGAGCGAATGCAGAAATTACTTAAACAAAATGTGTTTACCGAGAATAAAGTCTGTAGCGAATGCAGAAATTACTTAAACAAAATGCGTTTACCGAGAATAAGTTCCAGAGCGAATGCAGAAATTACTTAAACAAAATGCGTTTACCGAGAATAAGTTCCAGAGAGAATGCGAAAAATTAATTAAACAAGACGCGTTAACCGAGAAAAAGTTCCAGAACGAAAGTAGAAATTACTTAAACAAAATGTGTTAAACGAAAATTAGTTGAAGAGCGAATGCAGAAATTACTTAAACAAAATCTGTTTACCGAGAAAAAAGTGTAAAGTAAATATAAAGATTACTCAAAATATTATTTTATTTATTGTAAGGAAAATTTCAAAAGTGAATGTGGGAATGACTTACAAAATATGCTTTTATACAGAATGCAGAAATTACCGTAACAAAATATTTTTACTAAATGCTGAAAATCTGTTTACTGCGGAATTGTTGAAAATTGAACACCCAAATTACTCTCATATGAAAAATTAATGTAATATAGACAGAAAAAGGCCATACAGTACAGACAAGCACATGGTGAAGACATCATTGCAACAGTACATTGATCCTGATTGAGGTGAAACAGAAACATGACTGGTCAACACAGGTTACCATTCAAACATGCACAAACACTTATCATAACCAGACTGCTAACTCTCTAACCATCTTTCCATCAAGTTATAACAAGCATTTACACATAAATGAGCAGAAACCCCTGATGAGTCAGACAGTACTATTTCACTCTCAATCAAAGATACTGCACTGATGCTTTTGCATTTACCATGTTCCTTTCCAGGCCAGACTACTTATTAAGTAACTCACCCTATCAATTGTTTTCTAAGCAATTTTTTTTATAACAGATGTGTAAATTATTATAAGAAAAGTGTTCTCTAATAAAAATTTTCTACAGCAATTGGAAAATTTATATAATAAAACAATGAGTTCTCTGGGAAAATTTTCTGTAGCAGACGCCAAATAACTATAAGAAATGTGTTTAATGAGTAAAAATTCAAAAGCTGTTGATAAATTACTTAAACAAATGAATAGGGTAAGGAAAAATTACTTTAATTTGTTAATTGAGGAAAAATTTCAATGCAGATGTAGACGGAAATCACTTTAGAAAACTTTCTATAATGGATATGGAAATTACTTTAAACATAGTATGTTCATCAAGAAGTATTTCTGTAGTAAAAGTGGAAACTAGTTTAAGAAAATATGTTTAGAATTTTACAGCAGAAGAAACAAATTAGTATGTTATTTGCAAAGGAAATAGTTTTGTTAGTTTTCCTTTGGTGTTTGTGCTTGGTAATTTTTATTAGAAAACTTATAATATATAGTGGAAGCTGAAATATCTTTAACATATTAGTGTCTACTAAAGAAAACTGTTACTACAGACACCAAAATTATTGTTACAAAATGTTTCCTACAGAAAATTTGCGTTTACTAAAAAAATTCTATTAACTATAATAAATGTCTCTACTTATGAAAGTTTTTATAAAATGGGTGCAGAAATTTAATTAATACAAATGTATTTATTGAAGAAAATTTATAAGGCTGATTAACTCAAATGACTGTAATGAATATGATAACCAAGGATAATTCTATAGCAGACACTAAAATGTTCTAAATTAGCAGACGCAGAAATGAAATAACTTAAACCAAATGTATTCATGGCTGATAAATTCTATCGCAGTTGCAAAATGTGTTTACTGAGGACGAGTTCAATAGCATTAACGCAGAAATTACTTAAGCAAATGTGTTACCGAGGATAAGTTACATAGCCGACGCGGAAATTACTTAAACAAATGTGTTACCAAGGATCAGTTCCATAGCCGACGCGGATGTTATAGCGGATGCAGAAATTACTAAAAGCAAAATGTATTAATCGAAGTTAAGTTCCATAGTCGACGCAGAAATTACTTAATGAAAATGTGTTTACCGAGGATATGTTCCATAGCGGATGCAGAAATTACTAAAAGCAAAATGTATTAATCGAAGTTAAGTTCCATAGTGGACGCAGAAATTACTTAATGAAAATGTGTTTACCGAGAATAAGTTCTATAGCGGATGCAGAAATTACTTAAACAAAATGCATTAATCGAAGATAAGTTTCCATAGCGGACGCAGAAATTACTTAAAACATGTGTTTACCGAGGATATGTTCCATAGCGGATGCAGAAATTACTAAAAGCAAAATGTATTAATCGAAGTTAAGTTCCAAAGTGGAAGCAGAAATTACTTAATGAAAATGTGTTTACCGAGAATAAAGTCTGTAGCGAATGCAGAAATTACTTAAACAAAATGCGTTTACCAAGAATAAGTTCCAGAGCGAATGCAGAAATTACTTAAACAAAGTGTTTACCGGCAATAAAGTCTGTAGCGAATGCAGAAATTACTTAAACAAAATGAGTTTACCAAGAATAAAGTCTGTAGCGAATTACTTAAACAAATGTGTTACCAAGGATCAGTTCTATAGCCGACGCGGAAATTACTAAAACAAATGTGTTACCAAGGATTGTTCAATAGCGGATGCAGAAATTACTAAACGCAAAATGTGTATATGAAGGAAAAAATTCCAGAAATTACTTAAAACTTGTGTTTACCGAGGATATGTTCCATAGCGGATGCAGAAATTACTTAAACAAAAAGTGTTTACCGAGGATAAGTTCCTAAGCGGACGCAGAAATTACTTAAACAAAATGTGTTTACCGAGGATATGTTCCATAGCGGATGCAGAAATTACTAAAAGCAAAATGTATTAATCGAAGTTAAGTTCCATAGTGGACGCAGAAATTACTTAAAACAAATGTGTTACTTAGGATGAGTTCAATAGCGGATGCAGAAATTACTAAACGCAAAATGTGTATTTGAAGGAAAAAATTTCATAGCAGACATTACTTAAAACAAAATGTGTTTACTGAGGACGAGTTTCAGCGAAAATCTCTATTGCGGATGTCAAAATCATAAAAATGGATGCAAATAAATAATAATATATACATACAATAACATGCAAAGTTTTTTTTTTTTTTTTTTTATGTTTTTTTTTTTTTTTTTTTTTTTTTTTTATACAATGGAAGCTCTGTAGAGTGGCCATTGGAAGAAGGAAAAGCAATAACCTTTTTCTAAATTAACAATTTTTAAGTTTTACTAACAAATTATACAAAGTGGATTAAGCCTATAATGTAAAAGCAACCAAATTTTTTTCTTCCAAAGGGTTTTTTTATTTTTTTTTTTTTTTTTTTTTTTTGTATTTTTTATATAAACATGTGCTAGAAGCAGATGCTAATAAGGAAAAAATCAAACAAGATAAACAGCTAAAAGGAGAGATGGGAGCAACAGACTATACTAAGTTGTTCATAGTGTTTAATCTTTTAGTTAAATAGCATCTGTTCTAGCGTCTTTGTCCTACTTTTCATACACGAGTGCGGTTAGACAAAATAGATGCGAAGGTTAACTCAAAAATTTCCAAATGTTTATAAGAAAAAAAAAAAATTTGTAATAGTTAGAATTGCTGATTAAGAAAGAATTCAATGATGAAAACAACTACAAGTAGGTAGCAGAGCAACATACTATAGCTATTCAAAGCATTTCATCATTTCTTAACAGCATCTCTCATTGAATGAAAAAGTAGGTCAAAGACAAAATTTGTTAATAACATAAGAAACAAAATGTATACATCTTAACTTAGGAAAGAAACTTAACTTGAAAATTATAAAAATAATTAATGAAAAACTCATCTGGTATGCAAAAAAAGAAAAATAGAGAATTTTGACTTACTAAAATTATTAAAAGATTTATGACTCACTGAAATTATTAACTTTACAATTACTAAAATTTAGCTTAAATCAACTTTAATTCTGCAATTTTGAAAAGGAAAAATCATTAACCAAAAAAAGTTTAAATTGTTTTAAAGACAGAAAAAGGCCATACAGTACAGACAAGCACATGGTGAAGACATCACAACAGTACATTGATCCTGATTGAGGTGAAACAGAAACATGACTGGTCAACACAGGTTACCATTCAAACATGCACAAACACTTATCATAACCAGACTGCTAACTCTCTAACCATCTTTCCATCAAGTAATAACAAGCATTTACTCATAAATGAGCAGAAACCCATGATGAGTCAGACAGTACTATTTCACTCTCAATCAAAGATACTGCACTGATGCTTTTGCCTTAACCATGTTCCTTTCCAGCCCAGACTACTAATTTTACATTATTATTAATAGCAAACTTTATTTAAAAAAGAAAAAGATTTTGATTTATGAGCAGAAAAAATATGCTTTACAAAAAAATCAATTACAATATATAAAATGATAATAATTATACATGCATAAACAAAGGTAAGAAATATAATACAAAACTGCCACGGTCTAGAACTTCGGACTAGTTAACAAATAAGTCTTGAGACGCGGATTGACCTGCATCACGCTAATGGGTTTACGGGTCCTTTGGGATTTACCTGATCCCGCAGGAATGGGACTGGGTCTACCTGTCCCCGACAGAGGACTAGTGGACACATAAGTCTTCAGACGCGGATTGACCTGCATCACGCTAATGGGTTTACGGGTCCTTTGGGATCTACTTGATCCCGCAGGAATGGGACTGGGTCTACCTGTTCCCGACAGAACACTGGGTGTAACCTCCTCTCCCAGGTTGGGCAGGTGCGGAGCCTCAACCTCAGTAATCAATGGCCATACCTCAGAAGGAACCTCTACCTGATCAGGATGGACAGCCTCAGGGAACAACTCACCTACAGGACAAATTGCGATAACCACTGGGCTATCTGCAATCACAGGTGCAGCTGTGATAACCTCCCTGTCTACCTCTACCATAACAGCCTCACCACTAGATAGTGGTCCTCGAAACTCCCCTTTAACCTCAGAATCTGCAAATAGAAAAATAAAAAACATAAGTCACTGGCAGCTGTTTGTTTAATATTGCTTTATAGGTATGAATAATTAACATTGTAAATTATCTTAAGACAGAAATTGAGGAAACTATCAAGCTAGCTTACAGAATGTAAAATCACTCAAATGCCAGCACTTGCTTCTCATTGAAAACAACAACAGCAATAACTAGAGAGCCAAAAAGGCCCTATATTGCTCACCTGATAAACATTAGCTGTACAAGAAAATTATAATGTTATGGTAAGCTAAACAGTATGTCTTTGAGTAAAATAAGAGAGCCTTGGGTTCTGGGTCGCTCACCTGAGGGGATATTTTTTTAAGAATTCCCTATATAACTTTATATAAAACTGAGGAGCCCCCTGGCAGGGCCCCTTTTGACCCTAGGGTCATTATTTGAACAATCATTGTAGAGGACCACTAGATGATGTTACATACATAATATCAATGCTGTAGGCCTTGTGGTTTTTGACACGAGTATTTTTAAAGACTTTTTTATAAATCAAGTTACCCCCATGACGGGCCCCTTTTGACCAAAGGGGCAGTATTTGAACAATCTTTGTAGAAGACTACTAGATCATGTTACAAACCAAATATCAAGGCTCTACACCTTCGGGTCTTTGACAAGGGAGATTTTTTAAGATTTTTTTGAAAAAAAAACAACCCAAAAAACATGGTTGTCATGGCTCAAGGAATTTAATTCTTTTCACAACGTTGGTAGAGCTTTATGCAAGGAACATGCCTGGCAAGTTTCATTAAATTTGGCCAAGTAATATTGGAGAAGTCATTTGATTGAAAAAAAAATTTAATGCACTGACGGTCGGACCTACGGACGACGGACAACACAGTGTCACAAAAGCTCACCTTGTCACATTGTGAGAGGTGAGCTAATAAAGTAGGTCAACAGATATCAAAGTGCAAATCCTCATCTGGATTAACAGTTGATACAGTCCAAAAGTTCAAATCTGCATAAAAAAACTGAATGCATTTCAGGGGCTTAGCCAGCTTTTTTCAACTTGTAGGCACATAAAAGGGGGTCTGGGGGCTTAGCCCCAGAAAGCCAAAAACAAGTTCAAATTAAAAAGAACAAAATGCACGTTCCAAAGTATGTTCAAGGAAAATTATCAAAACAATAATTTTAAACTATGAATTTGATAAGATGCATACTTTATTGAGGATGGTAAATCATGCGCACACACTTGATTTGACTATACGGCTTGAACTCACTACCTACTCCACTCTCGCCTGTTTTATTGTATTTTTGGGACTTTTGAAAATGTTAATTTCTTGACCAACTTGTAGGCTCATGCCTACATGGCCTAATAGTAGCTACGCCACTGCATTTCAAATTTCACTGCAATAGCTTTCAATGTAACATGATCCATGTTACTGTACATAGTTAATTGACACCTCTTCATAAAGAAGTTACCTGAAGGTTGTACTGATACATTTTACTTGGCGAGAGGAAATCTATTTTAAGGTAACTTTTTGTACTAAAACAGCTAGTGTAATAATTATACATTTTGGGTAAATAATTTTATTATTACATATTAATAACTCTTGTTTTCTTTATATCTTTTACTTTAAATGTTTTTAACCTTCATAATTTTCATGTTCTTTATTGCAAAAATTTTCGGTACTTCTCAAACTTGCCAAATTTATTTAAGCAACTTAGACTACTGATGCCCAAAAGCCTAAAAGCATAAAATTTGAATTTCTTAAATAGACCAACTGGGGCACTTCACACAGAAAGATATACAAAAGATAATTAAGAATTATTTACAGAAATAAACTGTAGATCATATTTCTTTGGTATTCTTTGCCCATTTTAAATGAAAAGCAATTTGCAACCCTTTTCAATTTGAGGTCATTTTTCACAATTTAGATAATTATTATGGAAAAGCAAAGTGAGCAAATAATCTGAAAATTTGCACACAAGCTTTTGGTCTAGAACTACCGGTACATTAAATGGAACATTAATCCCAAAAATATTGCTTCAATTCCTGTCATGTCAAAAACCTCAGTGGAGTCCCTTTAACTAAATGACAGTAAAACGAAGTCATCAAGTCAGCTTTTTGGTTACCATTTTGTAACAAGAACTGTCGGAGGACAGTATTGGCTCGACTATTCAAAAAGTTGTCACAAGGGTGTTTTATTGAGTATAATAATGCTAATTACCTATGAATACATAAAATTGACTGTAAAGATACAAAGGCTTGTTATTAAGATCACTGTAAATCACTGCTTTATTAATTATGAATGCATAAAAATGTCCCAAAAAAGGCACAAACTCTTCAGTAGTTACGGAGATAACAGCTTACAAGCAAAACTTTGCCATGAATTTCTAAGTTGAAAAGGGGAGAAAAATCAGCCTAAATGCAAGATAGAATTATGGATCTTGGTCAGTGACCTACAATTATGATTCTAAATGCATATGTGAAGTTTTAAATAAATATCTTTAATAGTTATTGAGATACAGTCGACTCTCGTTATCTCGAAGTCATCGGGACCGTCCAAAAAATATCGAGATAATGAAATGTCGAGATAAACATTTTATGGTTTGAATAAGGCAGACACTGATTTTTACAAAAGACATGTGCATACCTTATGTTAAATAAACTATAACATCCCCATGTCTTGTTTTCATAGGCCTAGTCAATATTTAACAAAGTAACATAAGCGGATGTTTACCAGCGGAAATACGGGTGTCTGAGATAAAAACACAAAGTGAGGTTTATTCAGTAATACACCAATATCTAAGTGAAAACATTGTTGTTTTCAGGGTGGTTGATCCGGATATCCTCCCGGGTTATTTATCGGGTATTCCTCGAGATTGTTTGACCGCTGATTGACTTGATGGTGATGTTGTGAAACGATAGCGTTTCAATACTTTCACTATTTCATTTACATTTAAAAACATAACGAATTGATACAATATTCGAATATTTATAAAGAACGTACAATTCACCCATTTTGGACATGAGTCAATCAACACGCTAAATAGATTAACTTTTATAAAAACAGCTAAACTTGTTACAAACATAATCATCATTATTACACGCCCTATTGAACAATTATCGTCTAGTTTGTGTTTTTCACACGTCTGAAGGGAACAGATGAAAGAAAACTATTAGTCGAGATAAACAAAGGATAATAGTGTGAAAATAACTGTTGGGGCTGAAATTTTTCATCGAGATACTGAAAATATCGGAATAAAAATATCGAGATAAACAAATATTTCCAATATAGATAAAGAAGGAAGAAAATCGGGACTTTCAAAGTTTCATCGAGATAACGAAATATCGAGAAAAGCGTTGTCGAGATAAAGATAGTTGACTGTATGTAAAACTTGCATGTAAACATTAACCAAGAGACTATGTAGAAAAGGGGAGATGAATCAGCCTAAATGTGAGTAGAGTTATGGAACTTGGTCAGTGACATACAATTATGACTCTCCAATTATGACCCTAAGTACATGTGTAAAGTTTCAAGTAAATATCTTTGAAGACCTTTAACCTTTAACCAAAATTTCTAAGTTTCAAAGGGGCAAATAATTCTGCAAATATTGCAGGCAGAGTTATGAAATTTTGCAAACTGATGTACATTGTTACTATAAAAAAGTATTGTAAATTTCAATTGAATATCTCAAGCAATAATTGAGATATTTGACTTTACAAAAAAACTTTAACTAAAATTTCTAAGTTATAAATTAAGGGGCATAATTCTGTAAATATTATAGGCAGAGTTATCCAACTTGTCAATCTGATGAACATTGTAACTATAAATAAGTATTGTAAGTTTCAATTGAATATCTCATGCAATAATTGAGATATTTGAATTTACAAAAAACTTTAACCAACGCAGACGCCGACACGGACGCTGATGCCGGGGCGACTACAATAGCTCTCATATTCTTCGAATAGTCGAGCTAAAAATGTATGAGCTTACTTAAGTTTCATCATATTCTGTGAGTGTTAAAACATAGACCATTCTTTAACAATGTAGTTTGATCAACTCTTACTTGATCTCCATATTTAAGGCCCTAAAAATAACCAGTGTCGATCCCTTTAATATGTTTTCATTTTTAGATTTTGCACAATTGCTTGCAATGAGAATTTTGGGAAAATGGAGTGATCAAGCAAATGATTAGAAAATTTGCTCTTAAGTTATTAATAAGTATAAAAAAAATGTATCATAAAGATATTCCTAGACCTGTCACATCAAAAAATCTCAGTGGTGTCCCTTTTATTGTAATAATTATTCCTCGGGACTGCTCAAGTAAGAATAATTGTATGGGGCATAAATGACAGCACTATTAGTTTGCTTCAATTATGACTAATGGATAACTTTTTTTCCTACATGGTCAATATAATAATATTCACATTGGCAATATCATATGACAGACCCCTAAAGCTGTTTTTGATAAAATAATTTATAGAACTTTAAAAACAGTTAAATTAAGTTGTTGACAAATTAAGTCCTTCATTCTGTGTATTCTGTTATCACTAAAATCACAATATAAACAGTAATTTTACAACTATTAATGATGTCATCAATGCTTGTATGTCTTACAACAATCTGAAAGTCAAAACAATATGAGGGATGATCCAAAATAAAAGACTTTTGCTGTAGCTTATACTATACACAGCTGTTTGAAATAAGTAAACCATACATTGAAATAAATCGGAACATTTAATTAATAACATTATGAATATTGAACAAACACTTATGACCCCCCCACCCCCCTCCCAGTATACATTATAGGCAGTGTACATGGATATCAAATTTATCTTTTGAACTTAAAATCAAAAGGGGTCATTTACCAGTACTAATTCTGAGATGCATCAACCCATCAAGTATGATGTCTAAGCTAAAAAGTTTTTGAACTATAGGTTGCACAGACCTTGGCTGACATATAGACCATTAGAAACGTTTGACTGTACTTCTGAATTATAAATGATTATCAATAACCATATTCAAC